CTGCCATGGTGATTAGGAGCTCCCAGCTTCCTAAGCAAACAGTCTCTGGTCACCCTGGATTCAAAGGGCAGTGCAGGGCTGTCCTGCACGCTCGGCTGAACTAAGGCCGCTGAGGCCGGCCTTGAATTTGTTATGTAGCTAAGGGCAACCTTGAACTTCTGATCCTCCCAAGTGTTAAGATCACAGAGATGACTATTCAATAAGATGACTATCAAATCCAATCCAGGCATGGTGATATATACCTGCCATCCAAACACTCTGGGGGTAGAGACAGGAGGATCAGGAATTCAAGTTCAGCCTGGGCTACATGAGATCCTGTCTTTAAAACATGTAACACACACACATATATGTAGACAGAGACCAACTTAAAACCCAAGAAAAAGTCATCGGGCCTATTTCTGTTTTATCTTGCCATTAAATATTTTATCTGTTATCATTCTTGAAAAAAAGTGTGTTATTTCTGCATTTTTATATGCATTGATAAATACTTTATTACAACTTCAATAATAAATGAACCTTGGTTAAAAGAGGAAAAAGATTCTTTTTCTTCTTCTTACAAACTCACTGAAAACCAGCACTTATTTAGGTGATTCTAGAGAATTCCAGGCCAACCTGGGCTGCAAAGTGAGTTCTAGGCCAGCTTGGTACAGAGCGAGAATCTGTCACAAGAGAACAAAATGACTCAAGCAATCCATGACAAACCAGCCTCACTTAGGCAGACAGAGGTGAGGCAAGGCCCTGTGAAGAGAAATGGATGCTCCGAGTCTTTCTTTCCTTTTCTTTAGATTCATTCATCCGAAGTAGCTGACAACAAGGAGCTAATCTTATGTATGGCCCAATCTAGGCTCAAAAGTATTTCTTCTCTTAAACAAATCTCCCCCTGAGGCAGATAGTTAGCTTCTGTTCCTCAAAGCCTGATGGTTGATCCACTCAGAGCTGAGAGCAGCTCGGCCGGTGTCTGTTTGCCTGGATTTGGTTGTTCCATTGTGTTCTTGTCAGAGAGCGGAACTGCCTTGTCCCTAAAGTGCTCGGTACACAGGCTGCCCTCCGTCACGTGGCTGTGTCACCGTGTGCCTTTTTACAAGGTAAAGGACGCATTTGTCTCCAGGAGCCAAGCAGGTGACACAGATTGCTGAAGTTAAGACACAAGCTCATTTCAAAGCCTGACCCGTTGGCGTGCGCCCACCACTAAAGCATTTCCATTCACTGAAACGATACTTTCCTGGCCAAATACAACAGCCTACCCACAGGATCTGGCCATAAAGTGCTACCAGAACCAACCCATTATGCTTCTCGGCTGACACTCGGGCAGTTCTCAGAAGAAAGCACTGTTCATTTCACAGGCACCTGACAGAGAAGAAAAAAAAAAAAAAAACGGAAGCTCCGTTATAGTGAGGTGTCCACATCTAGCTGTTTGGAGGATGTAAACCTATACTTTTAATGTCCGTCCAGGACTCCCAATTCCCCTAACACCACAGACCACTACGCTGGATTTGGGGCTTTGTTTTCGTTTTTCTACCCCCTTCCTAGTTTTTTCTCAGGGGTGGGGAGGGGAGGGGGGTTAAACCCGAGCCAGGCATGGAGGAACACCACACACCCCCATTGTTCCAGTTACCCAGAAGACCAAAATGAGAGGCTGGAGCCCTAGAATTTAGAATCTGGATGGCAGGGCGTTGGAGGGGAAGGGGTTAAATCAAAGCAGGCTGACATTCCAGCGGCAGTGGGGGGTCAAAGTCCTGTTAGAATACTCTGGACCAGTGTCCTTGGCAGCAAAGCTTTCTCTGCCAAGACAGGCACACCACACGTTTCCCCTGAGCCTCTGGCATGGCAGAGAGGTGCAGGGCAGCGTGCCAAGGAAGAACTCTGCACCTCGGCCGCAGTGAGGAAGCTGAATCGATGTGAAGGGTCTCCAAAGGAACCTGATTGTATTGAGAGGAAAACATACCCAGAGAGAGAGAGAATCTTAGCAACTGAGTAAACAAGCCTCCTCTAACTCAGGTAGACTGGGTGTTGCCCCAGAAGCATAAAATGGGAGCTACCCTGTGGAACCGGAGATTTTCTAAATAGTCACCTTAGAAAAGAAAAAGGAAACAGAAGAAACTAATCTGGATGATACATTTTATTTAAATGAGTAAATTCAAGTGTTTTTGACTTCAACGTGTAATCGTTACCAAAGAAGCTGAGGTTCGCTCTTTTGAGGTCTTAGTCCCATTAATAAAATAACTCAAAAATGGACTCAGAAGGAAGCCCGAGAACAGTTTTACTAACATTTGAGAGAAAAACAACAGGACAGGCAAGCTAAAAATCCCCAGCAGTTGCCAGGAGACACAGAGGTCAGAGAAACAGCCAGAAGGCCCAGAGAGTTGAGGGAAGCATGCAGAAAAGCGCCAAGCTGTGGACCTGACTTTAGCGGACACTCAATTCCAGATTCTTCTATCCCAGGGTAAGGGACCACACCAGGACTCACAATCAGAAAGAGAGAGACAGCGTGTTAAGAAAGGAAAAACAGCTGGGCGGTGGTGGCGCACGCCTTAAATCCCAGCACTCGGGAGGCAGAGGCAGGCGGATCTCTGTGAGTTCAAGGCCAGCCTGGTTTACAGAGTGAGATCCAGGACCGGCACCAAAACTACACAGAGAAACCCTGTCTCGAAAAACCAAAAGAAGGAGGAGGAGGAGGAGGTGGCAAGGAAAAGCAGCTAGGTGTAGTGGCGCACACCTGTAATCCCAACCAGCAGGAGACGGGGGAGGGAGGTGATCTCTGCAAGTTCGAGGCCAGCCTGCTCTAAAAATTGAGTTCCAGGACAGCCAGAGCTGTTACACAGAGAAACCCTGTCTCAGGGGGTGGAGGTGGGGAGGAAAAACATGCCCAAGAATTAGAATGAGCTAATGAGCTGAGGAAAGGCCCCAAAAGTTCTGAGTCATATGGTCCATGACCCTTTAGAGGACATTTACATAATACGACCTCTCTCTCAAGTTTGTGTAATGAAGGACTCTCAAGAGAAGGAGCCCACGAGAGGATTCCAGTCTTCCTCTTCCAATTCACTTTCTCCATGTGTTAATCTTGATGTTCCAATCCACTTCCCAGACTTCTGCTACATAATCAATTTATAGTAATGATACTGTGGGCCCGAGGAGGATGTAGCTCGGCTGGTATCATCATCTGCCTCCATGCAGAAAGCCCTGGGTGTGCCTAAAGTGGTTGTGATAGCACACATTTATAATCCCAGCCCTTGGGAGGTGCCAGCAGGAAGGTCAGTAGTTCAAGATCATCCTCAGCTACGTGTCAGGTTCGGGGCCAGCCTGATCTCACGAGACCCTGTTTCAAATAAATAAATACGATCAATCTTACTTAGTTTTCCCTCACGGTCTCTGAACTTCGCTGTTCATTTTACGATTCCAGCTCATCTCAGTTGCTCGAGACCACATTTCAAATGCTCGAGACCCACATGCTGCTAAGGACTTCCAGCTTCGGACCCACACAGATCTAAGCCGAAGTAACTCCCCAAGGCCTGTATTTCTTGTCTAGTAGAAGTGAGCAACTTGCAACTCTTTAAGGTCACGGGGAACCCTCATTTCCGATTCTGCCCATCCTATGTCAAGACTTTGGTGCTAACTTCAAGCCCTCTGCCACCGGGGCTCAGTGTCCCCTGGTGTCCCTTTACGGCCAGTGGTTCTGCAAATCCAATCAGAGGCCATTGTGTTGGGCTCCATTTTTTGCCTTTGGAGAATGCAGCCCTCAGCACGTCCCCTTTCAAACATGGACTATTCTGGGGCTGTCTTCAATGCTGCCATGACTGGCAAGTGATTAGAGTGATATTTTTTTATGTGCCTGAGTTCACAGAGCAAATTACATGGTGTGAGTGGCATGGTGATTAGTGGCTGTGTGTGACGACCAGAATCGCTGTATTTGCATGTTTCCGAATAATGCGATTCTTATCTCCATTATATGGCAATGGGGTCGAAATCGACAGCATTATTAACTGCTTCACAGTGAACACAATTATCTATTCTGTTTTTCTCTTTCTGTCTCGGGTGTCTCTTTTGTTCTCTCTCTCTCTCTCTCTCTCTCTCTCTCTCTCTCTCTCTCTCTCTCTCCCCTCCCTCCCTCTCTCCCTCCATCTCTCTCTTAAAATAAACCAAAAGCCACTTCATTTAGCAGCTCCCAACAGCTCTTCCAGACAGAAGTTTCCCGTAGGAAGATATTTCTGAACCTTATCAATTATCCATATGTATTCCAGTCTAACTTGTTTCGTAGAAAAAGAAGCTGCAATTGTGAGCAGACAGGAGAGGTTTAAGCAAGGTTACAGAGAGAGGAGGAAACTACCGGGGTTGAGGCTCAATAGAGGGCTTGCTCCACATGCTTAAGTCCCTAGATTGATTCTCTCGCCTAGAAAAAGAAAGACAGAAAATAAAGTGAGGCAGGCAGATGGGGAACACAGGACCGGGCGCTGACAAAGACCCGTTCCCTCTCCTGTTCTCAGCCCCTGGTGCCGCTGAGTCTTCAGAACAATGGAATCCCATCTTCTGCTTTAATTACATGTTGTGCATTTTGGTCACGCTCCCCTTCTTTTCCTGCTGAAAAGATGAAGAAATTGGGTAAAATTATCAGCTGACTCCCCAAACACAAAGGCCTTTTCAACTGACTGAAGAAGACGTGAACGAGACACCGACCGGACAAACATCAACTTTTGCAGCCATGACGTGAATGGATGGAGCGCTCGCTCGTTACGCTGATGGCGGGTTATGAAGCAGAACCAGGAAAGCTGTGATTAAGTGCTCATGTGGCGGCGCCCTCAGCAACGAGGCTTTTATCCGTCGGCTGTGCGGCGGTGGCCGCTTTCCTATCAAGGGCAAGAGCAAAGTAAACAAACGTCCACGGAGACCCTTTTCAAAAAGACATCCAAAAATGAATCCTTCCCTTAGAAATGTTGCTGAGTTAGGGGGGTGGGGGTGGGGAATCACTTCAATTAAATTCTAACGCGTGGGTGCTATGGTGACGGCAGAAAAAGCCACAACGGTGCACAGGTTAACTGCCTCTGCACAAAGAAAAGAGGACACCTAGGGTTTGTCGTGAACCCGATGACGGGCATCGCTTACTATGAACAGCTGTAAGGATGATTACGGTTAGTAAATATGTGGGTGAAATGGCCCAGAGTGGATATATATATATATATATATATATATATATATATATATATATATATATATCGCTTCAATATATTATATATTATATATATTCAATATATATAATTATATATATATATTGAAGCGAAATGCTAGTGATATACCTTACCACATGCCTTAAGATAGCTAGAAGAATCTATTATGTCTTCATCAATAATCAAAGGTCTTGTTCTAGGACTAGAAGTCGTAAGAGCTTCTAGGAAGCATAAAGCAGAAGAAATTGGGCCATACTCAGCAGTGGGTGAAAGATGATGAAATACTTCAGGTCTGCACACCAACACTCCAACCTTTCTCCTGAGCCCACAGACCACATCAATTCTCCTTGGTACCGTCACCACATGCTGACACACACTGTCTTCCCTCGGCATGGGCATTTCCATATAAACATGCGGTACCTGCCTTTGTGAGGATGCGAAGGCTCCAGCAGAGCCTAGTTGTAGCTGATATCACCCATTTATTGGCTCAAACCAACTTTCAGAGCTCTTGCAAGGAAGGAGACACCATCCTTGATACGTGAGTTCCAGCGGAGAAGAGGACATCGCCACCATCCCATAGTTCACCTGTAAACTTCACGGGACTAGCTGATTTAGCTAGCATTGTTGAGAAAAGTGCAAGATGCTGAGATATCGAGCGCATAGCAGGAGACGAGGCCGAGAAGATTCCTCTAAGGGAATGAGATCAGGGAAACCTTGATATTAAGAGTTCAAGCCGGGTACAGTGGCTTTGATCCCAGCCCTCAGGGGGCAGAGACCGGTGGATCTCTATGAGTTGGAGGCCAGCCTGGTCTACCTAGTCAATTGTAGGTCAGCCAGGGATACACAGAGAGACCCCTATTAAAATAAATAAATAAATAAAAAATAAATAAATAAATAAATAAATAAACAAAAGTTCTCAGGGAAGGGACAGTCCAAGCAACTGGAAGGGCAAGAGGAAAGGCCTCAGGGTGGGAACAAGTGACCGTGGCTGCAGCCAGTGAGCCAGAGGAGAGGGAGCCAAGTAAATGCCCTGGGGCTCAATCATGTGCTTGGCACATGGTCAATACTCAGGAAACCTTTGCTGAATGAACAAACCAACAGGCACACGTCAGCTGGAAGGACAGACAGTACTTTTGCCCGTTTTTTTGCAGGAGTGCAGATGACCAGGGCCCAAAAATCCACAATGGTGTCAGGTGAGTCAGATCGGGCATTCTCTAGGAAGAGTTGAAAATGAAAAGTGAGCCAAGCCTGGCTGTAAAGATTCTAATTCCAGCTACTCAGGAGGCTGAGGCAGTCTGGGCAATCCAGGGAGACCCACATCTCACAATAAAAAAAGCACTAAAAGGTCTAGGGACCTAGCTCAGTGGCCAGGGGATTATCTGGCACGCACAGGACCCTGGGTTCAGTCGCCAGTTCCCACCCTGTGAAAACTGAAACCTTCAAGGGAATCTGTAACAAACCCCAAATCACTGCCAAGGAGCATTGAAGCCCAGGAGCTGAATGTGGCTGACGTCATGTGGGGCAGGTTCCAGAAGGCAGGACGGATGTAAAGTAGACTTTGAATCACACACAAGAATGTGGTAGGTAGAACAAACAGAAGAGAGGACTCTCCAAGGAAATCAGCCTGCATCACGGTACTCCAACGGAGCGACATTGATTTCTGGACATTATGTAAATCATTCTATGCTTGCTTGCCCAGACAAGGGGGAGAATCAATCCCATACACAAAACACAGAACCTGGATTCCAATGTTTTTATTTGAGGTTGCCCCTTTGAAATTCGCAAGGCTCCCCTTGAGTGGAGATTTGCCCATCTTAGCTTATTTTATAGTGAGATTGGGGAGAGTCCCCACCCCCATCCCACCCCACCCCACCCCACCCCACCTTGCCCTGACATCTATAAGGGGTCTTCTCATTCTCTCTCATTCTCTCACATTCCAGAATCACACCCTCCTGCTGTTCTCACTGGACTGGCTTCCTTCCCTTTCAGCACCACTTCATTAAAGCCTTGCAGAAGCTCTCCGGAAGCATCCAACCGCCTATTAGAAGGTCTGTAAGATGTGAGTCATGGTTCCACCACCCACCCGAGAGGCCCAGCCAGAGGATAGGTATCACCCATCACTCACGACCCTTGCTTCTCATTATACCACCCAGGGTCTAATCTATGAAATTCAGTCAACTCTAACTCTCAAATGACGCTCCTTCCTCTGTCGCCTGTTTACCCCCATGCCTTTTTCTTCCCTGGACTTAATTAAGTTATCGCACAGCTTATTTCTTTTCTTTCCTGTTCTGTTTTCTCAGATGGTGCTGGGAGTTGAACCCAGAGCGTGCCATCTTCTACTGAGCACTCCCCACAGACGACACCCGGGTTTTTTGTTTTTAATTTTTTTCTTTAAACATCCTTCTGGGAATCTTTCTGATCTGTTGGCCTATTTTTCCACAGCTCCCAAACACCCTGAGTTTTTTTTTTTTAAGGTTATGAACAGATACCCCCAACCTAAACATGTCAGAAGTCTCCGTTCCTTTTTTTACAGTTCCGCTATCCAGAATGCCCTTGGCCAACCCTGTATCTACATGTATTCTTTTTTTCCCCCTTTAGGTAGTATACTTTTTAGTTTTTTTGTTTTTGTTTGTCATTATTATTAATATTAATAAGTATTATTGTGTGTGTGTGTGTGTTGTTCAGGCACACACATGTCATGGCACATGTTGATATCAGACAACTTTTGGAGATTTTTCTCCTTCCACTAATGGATCCAGGAACTGAATTCGAATCCTCACACTCATACAGTGAATGCTTGTACCCATGAAACCATCTCCCTCAGTCTCCAGATATAAATAATCTTATTGTGTAGCCCGGGCTGGGGTCAAAGATGTGACAATCTTCCTCTCTCCCTGAGGCTGTATGGACTCCTGTGATTGACCACCCAGACTCAGCTCAAGTGGAGCACAGTGATGCCCATGTGTAATCCTAGCACTTGGGAGTCCAATTGGCATCATGATTTGCTGTAATCTTAGTACTCCCAAGGCTGAGAAGCAAGTTCAAGGCTAGCATGGGCTGCAGAATGAGATTCTGACTCAGTATCTCCCTTTTCCCACCCAAAAAGGACAAGAAAAAGAAAACAATTAAATATCAACAATTCTGTAAAATTTCCTCTGATCTCTGAATAAAATAGGATGGTTTTTCTCTGTATAGATCCCGTAACATCTGAAATAAAACTCCATTTTACCATTTACTATCTAGCTGTAATTAGTAGTAGATGCATTGATTGGCCTTACCGCTAATGGACCCCATTTTGGTTTGTGTTTGTCTGTTTTGAGGCGGGATCTCTCTGTGTAGTCCTCCAGACTGGCCTGAAATTCACAGAGATCCTCCTACGCCAGCCCCCTGACTGTGAGGGTTGTAGATGTGTACCACCGTGGCTGGTTTCTGTCCCGTTCTTAATGCGACATCACTAGACACTTGTCAGTTCCATCAATTCCGAGTCACCTGTGGCCTCACATCCTGCAGTTTCACACTGAGATTCAAAATAGGAAAATTCCAGGAATAAGCAATTCATAAGTTTCAATGAACTTGTGCTATGTAGTATATTGTTGTAACTGTTCCATTTTATTAGTGGTAACTCAAGTCTTTTGTTTGTTTG